TGCTCGGATGAGAGGCCTAGCTTGGCAGCTGTAGGAGAGGGGGCGGACATACTTGGGGGGAGCCGTGGGGGGCCACTGACACGGCGATGCGGGACAATATATGGGAAGATGGTGACTGGATCCAGTTACCTGGAACTGCTGGTCGGCTTCTTGTCGCAAAGCGGTGTCTGTCCACCCCAAGAGCTGAGCTTGCTGCAGCTCATGCGGTGGACCAGCCCCTACAAAGACCTGACTGCCCATGCGCGCCACGGCTCACTTTGTGCTTTGTGAGCCATCCGACAACTGGAGCGACTCAGTGCGACTTGACTGTTCCGCAACGAAGCAACAAGGTGTTTCCCCTTCGGGCGCCGTTGGTGTCATCTTTCGATTGATGTCGGCGGCCCCTTACTCGTTTCTGCACTACAGCAGTTTCTTCACATTGCCTTTCTGCAAACGATACAGTTGCAATCGTGGCAAGAACTTTCCAGGTTGCTGGAGGTCCCTTTCTGATGCGGAATGAATGGAAATAGATACGGATGGACCAGTTTTGAGGCGTCCAGACAGAAGAGGTGTTGCCGCTTTCGTCTCTGCACTCCAGTCAAAGGTTGAGGGGTTCAGGGTTGATAAGAGTGTAGGGAGGAAGCCCTTTCGTTGACAAAGCTGGCCTCGCTGCACTCTGCAAGGTCACGTGGAAATTTCTGCAGCTCTGCCTCCACAGCCTCCGATGAGATTTGCGTCGGGGTGCCGGTCCCTAAATCCAAAACCCGAAACGCTGGCAGCTCGTTGGACTGGAACTCTAGCATTCCTGACATTGAGCGCATTTGAGTGTCCTAGTCTTGTCAAGGAGTGGTTGAGGTGCCTCGTAGCCTAGCACCCGCGAAATTCCACAAACGCCGCTTTCGCTCTCGACAGCACCACCTCGCTTGGACGTTGCCAAGGGGCCACGGCGGCCAAGGACCGGCAGTTAATAAAGATCCCGAGGCCCAGCGCGGTCTGCAAGTGCCAAGCGCTTCACCACTCCACTAACAACTACAATTTCTACTGCTCTGACTGAAACAAGTAAAAGCCGCAGGTCAGGCTACTAATATGGCTTGGCTCTGCACTGCTGTGCTTAGGGTTTCAGCCGCCTCCGGAACGTTTCGACGGATGTAGCACGGCTCCGTCGCATCCCACTCTGCAAAGTCAGCAGATCCTGCGGCTTCACTCAGTGTTACAAATGCTCATGACTTCTCTGCACGTTTGCGCTTCGCACACGTCTTCAACTTTGGAGCAGCGTTGGTTGCGGCAAGGGGATGCTGCACCCGCGACTCTACACCCTGTCCTCGAAGGCAAAACCGTCGTGGACCAGCAGCAAATGAGGTCCAAGTTTCCGTTCAAAGTCCTAAGCCCTGAAACCCTAAACCATTTGGACCCCACACACATCCGAAATTTCAAGGCACATGTAAGCTTCCGCAGTAGTCCAGCACTGGGTGTGGGCAGCTTCCTGAACCTCGGCCCAACGCGGAGTCCAAAACTCTATAGCATGCACCTGCTCTCAGGCGAACAGACTTGCGAATCACACGAAATTGTAGCAACTCATTGGTGGTCCTCACCCACACACTCTCTTGAACCCCAACCTAAGACCCAAGAGGTTCTCACAGTAGAGCAGCCCCGGCACTCTTCCAGCGGGGTCTCGAGCACCTGAAGCATCCGCGCATGGAGCCGCGCCACTGCCAGAGAGCTAAGCCCAAGCTCGGCCAAAGCCTGTAGAAAGACAAAGAACGCGAAAGACGTAACGAAAGCACTGGGTCCCAGGGACATACAAGCATGTTCGGTCAAGGGCCGGTGGCACGAACCCGGGAAATGTCTGCGAACTTTGAACGGGATCAGTCCAATTCTGTTGCTTCGAGCTCTCCAGTTTGCGTTGGTCCGGTTCGGAGCCACAAATAGCACTGACTGCATGACTTGGGATGTGTAGACACATAGGGGCACGAAGACCTGAACAGACAACTCTAACTCTAACCAGAGGGCTCTGTGCAAGTACTTCTCTAAGGTGCCGCAAGAGGTCGACGCATTGTATGCTCTGCACACCATTGGTGTTGCTCTGCTGCTAATGGGCAGATGCCCCTTTACAAAGCAGCTGACATGCTCTCACCTTTTTGTGTCGCGCTCCAACAGTGCAACACATACCGTGCCCCCAAACCCTGAATCCCTCAACCCGAAATTCAAACCTTCTTTGCTGAACTGAGTTTCTTTGACTCCAAATCCTTGTGTACCCAGTCCTTCTCAGGACTGGCATCTACAACCTCGTCCAAGAGCCACCGCTCCAGCTGCCTTTGGACAGCTTTGGTGCGGGGTCTAGTTTTTGCTTTTTGGCTTCCTACTTCGCCAGGACAAAACCTGCATCGTAGGTCGTAGGTAGTTTCGGGTCAGAAAGGCTTCGTTGAAGGCTTTTTTTAAGGTTTCTGCCTGAGGGGTTTGGTGCCGGGGATGGTTGGGGCACATGTTTGAGAGCACGGCCTGTTGTTGAAGAGGAGAACTTCTTGACAAAGTCGGATGCTGCTGTGCTGTCAGGCAAGCATGGCAAGCTGTTCGGATTGACAATGAATGCTGCAGAGGGAGGTGGAACACGTTTCGCGTCGTTTGATTCAAACTTGGCCACGAAGCAGGAGTTATGAGCCCGTGAACCCTAACCCCACTGAACTGGGGCAGAACCTGCCGGAGCCTCCCTTTACTTATCACGCCCAAGCTCAAACAAAACTGACCGCCCTAAGCTGGAAGCCGACCGCTATCCCTCACTGAAGTGGAAGACTCTCCCTATCACAACCTAAAGCTGCAAACCATTGCAAACCACTCCATGCCCCGGTGCAAAACACGGTCCGCCCGAGTCTCGCGAGTCCACTTGATGGCAGGGCCCTTCAGGCTCGGAGGGCTTCAAGAGTTTAGACCTTTTCGGGTCTGAGGCGCCTCGGATCCTTAGACTTTAGCAAGACGGGCTTCAAAGGTTTCGGGTTGAGAGCTTCTAGGGCTTCCAGGGCGACACTGACCCACAAAAAGGATGCCTCGCGGAATCCGTACATGTGACGCTCCAGCTCCCCGGGAAAGGCTGACAGCTCCCAGAGCTGCGCCACCTGTCGCCGTTTATTATGGCGCATTGCGGTTGGTGTGATGCGCAACGCGCACTGCGATTAATCGGTTTCGTGGTGTTGTCTATGAGTCTATGACTGAAAAGCCCGTATGCAAGCCTTCAATGCTGTCTCTGTTGTAGTCGGCAAGAAGTCAACGAAAAAGCCGCAACTAACAATGACAACGTATACAAGAACAAAGCATCTCGGATGTGCGACACAGTGGGCTCGGTTCATCCCATCCATGCACACTGGGTTGAGCGATGGCTCAGGATGATTCAATGTGGCAGCAGCATGAGGATGAGTTCTGTCGTGGAAAAGCGTGCTTGCTTCTTCGAGCACGCCTCTCGGTGCTTGAGCTTGCCGGACGTAGTCTTGGGAATGCTATGGGTTTCCAGGAGGACCAGGCCGTAGACCTGAGATGCAGACATGTGAAACTGGACTCTTACAACCGCATTGAGAAGGGGCCATGCTGTAGCGAGGTCTAGTCTTCCAACACCCATACTTGAAGGCCGGCTGGTCCCTGCCGCATAGGAACAACACTGAAACTCTGGTGGCTCTGGAGCCCTCTCCCGGCCGCCTCGAGTCCGTGCTCTGCTTCGACCTCCCGACGGAGTGCTGCCGCAAGCTCCGCTGGGTAATCATGCCGCACCTGGATTGTTTCAGGATGAATCCTTTGTCCTTCTTAGGGTAGGGGGTTTGGCGAATAAAGCTTGGGGCTTAGGCCGAACTTCTGCATTATGGGGTGCAACGAAGAGCTGAAATGATGGACGTTCCGAACACCATGCGTAACATGTAATCTCCTCGATCGCTCCCATCAGCGCCAATCAACATCAAGTCCGCTCGCAGCATTCTACAAGGCCAAACGCAATTTTTTCAGCCGTTCTGCCGACCCCAAAACCTTACGAAATCTATGCCTTTGCAATAGAGTCAAAGAACGAGACTCGAAAAACTTTTTTGGCTTTGGTTATGAGGCAATACATGTCAAGTGCATAGGCCTCGCCACCAAAACTTTGACAGCTAAGCTGCAAAGAAAGCATGGATACATATGTATATATCTGTGTCTATATCAGTATTTGGCTCGAGGGGTGAACACCGCCCCTGCTTTCTGCTACTTCTGTAAACACGGCCTCGAAAACGAAGGTTTTGACGAGTTGGAAAAAGGGCGAAGGGTTGCAGGGTTTAGGATTGCTTCAAGGTTCATATCAAGTTTGTGGACTAAGTAAACCAAGAAACAAACCAAAAGTACCAAACACACCAATATCTGGGAAGTCTTGCAAAGAGGTGGCTAGGTTTCGAAGAGTTTCTAAATCATATTTTTGTATTTTATTTTTGGTCTGGTGTTTTTTTTGGATTTTGTGGTTTGCTTTTTGTGCAATCCCGGGTGGCGCATCTGGTTTCCTCCCACGCGCCGCTCCTTACGCTCAGGGGGGCTGTGTAAGGATTTCGGGTCTCGCGCAAGCTCGAGATAGCATACAAAGAGAAAAATCAACGTAATGGTCAACAAAAATATTAGGGGTCTGGTGGTTACTTTAGAAAACATCAGGAAATGTGGACAGTGAAGTGTATATTTCCTAAATGTGGCAGAATACTTATTTCCATCCCATGACCAGCCACCATCAAACATGACTTGTAGCAGACTCGCTTGTTTTTCAGTTTTTGTAGCTTTAAATGAGCAACTTTGTATTGAAAGAACTTTTATTGAGCCATTTCATGAATGCATTCGTTGAGTTACAATATATCAAAGATATTTTGCATGAGGGTTTGTAAATGATGTTCCCTT